TAGAATAGGGTTTTGGGGTATACCATACTATAATTGTAACAAGGAACCCCCAAAATAAATAAGAAACCCCTTCAAAATAGCATAGGTACCAAAAACCCGGCCTAAAGCCCAAACGCCCTGAACCCTAAACCCTAAATTATTCGGGCCCCCACGTTAATGTCATCCCCCCCAAGACATGCTTCGGAGCCTTCCGGTCTCCACTTGCGGGCGGTGTGCACAGTCTGTCACGGGAAAGAACCCTCTTCCCTCTGCTTATAAGCACTTTATAGGGTTCAGGGTGTAGGGTCGAGGGTTTAGGGTTGAAGGTTTAGGGCAGATGCTAAAGGGTTTAGGGTTTATAGGGTTGACTTCAGCTTATGTGGAGCTTCGGGCTTACAGTTCATGCTAACTTTTTATACGCACAGAAACAATGCAAACGTGGGTTTTGGACCACTGAGTCAACGATCACTCCAATAGGCTAAACCTAGTGCAGCTGGGGTGTTCGTTCTTCAGCAGCCCACCCTTAACCCTGCACCGCTACATAAACTCTTCAGCAATACCTTGTACCTTAAACCTCATTAAGCTTTAGTTAGGGCGTGGGGTTCGGGTTTCCGGTTCAGGTAAAGCCACTCTGTGCCTTTGGTAGCTCTTTCAGGGCTCCAGCGAGTTTTAGGGTTCAGTGGCCTACGGCTCAGTAGCTGGTTAACATGGCAGCTCCAATGGGTGCCCACAGAGGTGAAACATGGAGGGACCCAAACGACATGTTAGGGCTTAGGGTTTAGGGTTTAGGGTTTAGGGTTATCGGGAACGGTCATGCCCTTGCAGTGACAAGGACGATAACATGCTTATGATCATTGCTCTCAGCACTGCGGCAGCTACTACCAGTGCTTCTGTGACATACTCCCATCAGCACAACGAAGACGATTACTGCAACGATGTGCTATACTGCTGATGCTGCTACTGCTGCTGCTGCTGCTGCTGCTACTACTACTACTACTACTAGTACTACTACTCCTACTGCTACTGCTACTGCTGCTGCTACTGCTACGGCTACGGCTACGGCTACGGCTACGGCTACTGCTACTGCTACTGCTGCTACTCCTCCTACTCCTACTCCCACTTCATCTCCTACTCCTACTCCAAGTCCTAGTGATACTCCTGCTCCTACTGCTCCCTCCTGCTCGCACTCCTGCTCGTACGTACTCCTCCTCCTCCTCCTCCTCCTACTCCTACTCCTACTCCTACTCCTACTCCTACTCCTACTCTAGGACTTCGACTACGACGACGACTCCTGCTACTACTACTTCTACTTCTACTTCTACTTCTACTTCTACTTCTACTTCTACTTCTACTTCTACTTCTACTTCTACTTCGACTTCGACTTCGACTTCGACTTCGACTTCTACTTCTACTTCTACTTCTACTTCTACTTGTACTTCTACTTCTACTTCTACTTACTACTTACTACTTACTACGTTCCACTTACTACTTACGACTTCCGACTTACCACTTACTACTGACTTCTGTTTTCTTACTACTTGCTACTTATTTCTCGACACTGCCAAGGCTCAATGCACTGAAGCCAGGAAAACATCGATCTGCTGCGGCGCTTGTGGCTGGGAGGTGGCATCCTTAGCGCGTTTAGGGCTTAGGTGTGCGACCGAGGCAAATATTTGCAAAAAAGTTCCAAGGAAAAGTTGTAAAACGTGAAGAAACATCTTTGGCAAAAGTATCGTCGTCGTCGTCGGAGAATGACCAATAAAACGACCCGGCGACTACCGTGACAGCAGGCGCGGAGATGACCCGTCCCTTTTTTGCCGGATTCGTTAGTCTCACTCTTCCGAAGGCCCCATAAACCCTAAACCCTAAATACCAGCTGTTACCGACTTCTGAAGATGGTCCCATCAAACTTCTAGACCTTCACTCCTCGAACAGCCACAGCAACCGTGTCCAGAATCATGTCTACGTCGTAGCAAACACTCATCTGCTGCCCAGCTCATCTGCTGCCCGGGTGCTCAGTCATCTCCATGACGAGATTCCCTGAACCTTCATGGCGCTCTGAAGGCACCCAGCCATCAACATCCAGGTCGTCACTGTCCTGTCTGAAGGTCCCTAATCTCAAAGCCGTTATAAACGCCTTAATATCTTTAATAGGGCGTCGGGTGTATGCAAATAGAGTATAAGCACCAAGTTATACTTATATACATACATACATACATACATACATACATACATACATACATACCTACATGCATACATACATACATACATACATACTTACTTACTTACTTACTTACTTATGTATGCGAATAGAGTATAAGCACCAAGATATACTTATATACATACATACATACATACATACATACATACATACATACATACATACATACATACATACACACTTACATATTTTACGATGCATACATACATGCATGCATGCATACATGCATACATGCATACGTGAATACATGCACACTACATACATACACATGAACATGTAGCTCTCTCTCTATATATATATATATCTATATGCATACACATATATGTGTATACATTTATGTACATATATATATATATACGCAGATGTACAAATCTAGAGAGACTGAAAGGGAATATTATTAAAGTAAATTCAGAACGCCTACATTAGGTTGAGGAGTCCGTGTTGCCGGCTTCGGATCATCACTCTTTGAAGCCTTTGCGCCTGTGGCCTCGAGGCTAGAGTAGACCCTATTACAGTATACATATATAGTATGTTAGGGTATATTATTGAATATCTCGGTATATTTGTGGCATAATATGGTATATTACGGTATTTTATGGTATATTATCGGACGTGAAAGCATGCCCCCTCTGAGCTCGAAGCCCCACGAATAATGACCGAAGCCTCGAGAAGCCTCCGAGGCCCAAAACCACAAGAAGTGAGAGCTTCGCAAACGTGGTCGGACGGTTTAAGGTTTAGGGTTTCATTATTGTTAAAGGAGTGCATTGAAGACTCTTTTTGGAACCTTAACCTAGGTGGCCCCTAACTTGAACGTGTACAGCAAATCTTGACCATCGTAGAGCATTCAACCAAGCACCGGCCTGCTCAAGCTCCGCGAGGGATCCGGGCGGCTTGGAAAATGCTGAACAGGCGACGTTGCCCACCTGCAACAGCGGCAGCCATAAAGCGGACGACTTGGAGCTATGACATCTATGGATGTGAGGTATTGCTTTTCAACGGGTCACTGGGAGGGTGCATGTGACGGTATGCAGCATCTCAGCTGTGCCTGACGATGATTGCCAAGCAGATGCTGGTGATGATGATGCTGTGTGATCGCGATGATGCCGATGATAATGATGATGATGGTGAACCTGATGACAAACATGATTAGCATGATGATGAACATGATGAAGATGAACATGGTGATAAGCATCATAATGAGCCGATGAGGACCAGGATGAGGATGATGGTTATGCTGCTGAAGATGATGACGATGATGATGGAGATGATGACGACGATGATGATGGCGATGATGATGGCGATGATGATGACGATGAGGATGGAAGGCATCATAAAGGCGAGAACGGGGACACTGATGGCTCCCATCCAAGTGCAAGCTATTGCTAGCTGCTGCTATCGATTGGCCCAGCAGTTGTCGTAGCTGCAGGTGCAGCCGCAATAGCAGTGCAGAGAAAAGGCCCGCGTCGTTGGAACTCGTCTCGGCGTGCCGTCGTACCATCATTATTGCCATCTTCGTCTTGAGCATTCATCGGTCTTACTGCACGGGAGGATACCTAGAGGCTAAACCCCAAACCTTCCACTTCCCAAACCCACAACCCAACAACAGCCCGCCAAAACAAGCCTTCGATTGATGAAATTCCCAGTACCCTCATACTACCCATATAAAATCTTTCTAGAAACCTCATAGAAGCTTGATTTATAGAATCCTTAATCCAGAGCAAAGCCGCCTTGCCCTCCTGGCTTGAGAAATCCGACTCCACCTGGGGCTTGGGGAGTCTTTTCTGTTGGAGATCTTCTTGTCGGGTTCCTTGATTATTATAACCCTAACCCCCCAAGTACCTACCATATATAGGGTACTAGAGGCCCTAGGGCCCTTACACAGTAGGCACCTGCGGGGTTAGGGTAAAGGTTAAACGATTAGAAGATGGCCTTGCGGCGTATTGTAGTAGAAGCATAATCAGGAGCCAGCACGTAATCCCTATGCAACCTCCACAGACTTCTGGTGACCCCTATCAAACAAACATCGCCCCAAGGAATAACATTACTCCTTGCGCTGACCCCATTGGAGCTCCTGGGGCTTGCTCTGAAAAACTCGACATGCCGCGTATAAGAAGGTAGTTAAACATGCCTCATCTGAGTTTCTTCGTGCTTCTTCATAACGAGCTCAAAGGACAAGTTCATGAATGGAGGAAGAGAAAACCGAGGGCATCACTCTCAAAAATTCCTGTCGCGCTCCCTCGTCGAGTCTCAGAGCATTGGGTATCTGGGGAGGCAGGGGCAGCTTCACAGGCCACACCTTATTGAAGCCGAGATACATTGCCGGGAGACGCGTCCTGCTCTATCGGGATTTTGCTGTCTTGTAGATCTGTTTGAGGTTTGGCAAGATTAAAGCCCCTGCTTCGGCATGTTGACACAACAGTGCAGCAGGAGAGATCCGAAAGAAGCCACTCCAAGAAAGGAGTGCAGAAGCAAGAAGACTGATTAGCAAATGCTAGACATTAGAGCCCAAAGTCTGGACCCAAAGCCAGCAAGAGCATTCAACAGTGTGAGGATCGTTTGGCGCACCGACGCCTCTCTTCACTTTAGACGTGCCCCCGACTTTCAGGGCACGTTCTGCAAGCTAGGACCAGTTGTAAGTACCACTATAATCAGCGGGGCCTGGATCCTAAAGACGACCCCTCCATACAAACTAGGCAAAACAACCGTGCCCATAGCAGCAATCCCGAACCTTGAACCCATCACCCCAACATACCCAAACAAAAAATGGGAAGAGACCTGTCCTTCAGCGAGCTCTGTGTGGCGACGGAGCTGGAGCTCTCAGATTGTGGAAGAAATGTAGACTCACTGCTGGAGCTCGCGCCAGATTGCGGAGTCAAACAGCTAGACCTGCTCGGCTGCTACTCAAGTCGGCTGCTACTCAAATCCGTTTGATAACGTAAGTGTGTTTATAAACATATATACACACATATGTAAACCCATCCATCCAGCCAGCCATGCATGCATGCAAGCAGGCAGGCAGGC